CCAGCGTTTAGTTCAAGTTTCATACATTGCCAATGTCCCTGGTCCTTTATAACTAGATTTAAGTTTATCGCTCTGCTTTGACATCTATCAGACAAGCTCTCTACCAAGCCATGTGAGACCTCATTAGAGTTTTGTAGCAGTTGGTGCTTGAAAAGGCAGATTTTATACCAAAGAGCTCATTTTGTGGAACATCAGAGACATCTGTGATAGTTGTGGTACTTTTGTTCGTTCTAAAAATTATAACCACTTCACTGCCAATCCTCACCATTTTTACATCATTTTGTGCTAGAAGTAGCTCACTGTGCGACATGATGCATTCGTACTTACTCAGGCACATTCCCGTGCCGTCTAGTACAATCGTGCAAATTCGTGGGCGCTTGTGGCGAAAATTACGAATATTTCAACAATAAATATCGCTGATCGTCACTGCGGTTCGTTATCGGCGTGAGTTTCCCGCCATTGTCCTCATGCCGCCAACAAGGAAACTTATTAGAAGGAAATACTTCACATTGAAGGCATTGAAACAAGCATCATAATATGATAAAACAAGCTTACTTGAAAATATTGAAGTACGTTTAAGCGCAAATGACCACTCTAGACCCCACAATTTTCTGTTTAGTGTGCTCCTTGATTCGTCATTGCTTGATTACGTCATCGTACCTTCGCACAACATTGATCAAGAACTCAGTTGTATCTGGAAATCATGCTCACGAATGCCAGATATGAAAGACTCAACCATTATCTTTTTCCTGGCCTTGATTACCGCATGACTTCTGGAATGACATGACAGGATTTGAATGGCGTTGTTATGGCATCATGAACCCCAATGTGCCCATGAAATACTTCCCCCCCCCCGAAAAAATCTCCCTATCTTCGCGGGCGTGTAGCTCAGGAACTGGATAGGCTAAGCTCTTAAGAAAGCATGGCTGTAAACTGCACCAAATGATTTTCATGATATTTCATGAGCTTTTTCAGTTCAAAACCTCATAGGAATGTAAAACACAGTCTTTCAAATGTATGGAGAGGCAAATGCCGCTTTTATGCATTTTTCTTACCGAGCCAGCCCTTTACTGCGGCCCCGGCCAAGGCGGGCAGACTAAGTGAGCAGTGACAGGATGCCTAGCACGGCCCCAGGTAGCCTTTGTAACGCTTTTTTTCTGATGGGCCGCGGCCGGGCCACAGCCGGGCTGCTTGCTCGCGGCCAAGCCAGGCACCAACCAGGCACATTATGGACGAATATCAGAATATCGGCGTGGCTTGGGCGGGTGCTGGGCTCCAGCTGGAGCTCGGCTCGGCCCCACCTGCTAGAAGTGCTGTGTACCAGCTGGGCGCTAGTGCGTGGCCGGGATAGACCTGGCGAGGAACCTGCGCGGCAGAACAGGGTACGTGATGGACTCGGTAACTGGGCGCCAGCTGAGCTCTGGCCACGCAAAGGCAGGCTGCCCAGGTGAGGCACAGCCTGTTTTGGCGTCTTGTTCATATCTCCCAGAAATGATAACCCGACGCAGTGCAATGTCGTTGACGTACCATTTCCAATAGCGAGTAAAACCAAAATTACTTAAAAGCTCAAGTTCTAGGCCGTAACTTCAGCTTGCCGAAGTGCAGGTCAATTGAGGTGGAAGTTACGTGTGTAAGCCTCTGCCATTGTCTTACTTCAGTTTCGACAAGCTTCTTTCCCCTAAAGAGGCCTACAAACGGTCTGAACCCTAATAATCAACGTGTTTTCTTTTTGTTTCTGAAAGTTATACAACGCTGGAAAAAAACGTTCCTAAAAATGTGGCATTGAAAACACTGACGTTTTCACACTGCCGCTGCTGTACACGGCCACGATATGCCCGTTTTGGCGCAACATTCATGAGTATGACGTTATCATCTGGAACCTGTTCGTCAAGCTGGATCAGGAGCGGTTGGAGCCGGTTCAGTGAAGAGCCACGCATTGTCTAAGAAGTAAAGCATTGGCCGCATCATAGAGGCACCGACTTTTTCTCTTGCCTTCACTGTACTACTAACGCTGAAAGGAAACATGGTTGCAGTGTTATGAAGACCTGTCTGCCGTTGGGCGAGTTCTTGACAAGACACGCTTCGGAGATGACAAAAGGACACCAATGAAGCCTGCGACACCCTCAAGCCAGAACATCCGTCTGCCAAAGCTCAGTGAGCTCCTGGGTCGCAAATGACACTGTCATTCGTTCCTGTTCTGTGTTCTGTTCTGAACATTCCTGAGGAACCTTCTTCCGCCGGCAAAAGAATGATCATTCACAGTTGACCACTTTAAAATAAGACTCGATTCACGCTGAACTGGCACCATGTGCATCACGAAACGATCACATCACTGAAATGAGATTGTTCGGTTACCTGAACGGAATCTCGAAAAGACGGGGATCGACGGGCCACGTGGCCTTTGAATCCTGTTCAACATTGGGAAATGCAGGTAATTCGATAAGCATAGTTTGGAGCTCGTTGATGGAACTGATTATGTGAACCCAAAGTTTTTTTGATGCATGGTTTGAATATGATTTTTAAACTCACCTGGTTCTGCCACATGCCGACAGCGGGTGTCCCAATAAGCATGCTGGCAGCTCGCCTGGGTGTTTGCACCGGTCACATTAATTTGGTTTCCGGGTTCACACCTTAAAAGATGACGCGTGACACCTACAATACTCAGAACACCGTCTGCACGAATTGAACTGCAATTATCAACACTATATACCGCGCGGCCGGTAATAAATGATTGGGCAACCGGGTCAATCTCAGCCAGAGGTCATTCATATTCTGCGACGGCATTCGCGGAAAATCGCGCTACAGGCCCAGTCGCGTCCAAGCTGGGTTCTACTTGGCCATTGTCGCAGTTTTGAACAAGGACTGGTTCTGACAGGGCCTGCCCAGGCCGGACTGCGCCCTGCTATAAAAGTCTGCCCAGCCGGGGCCGCGATGTATTGCTATCTGGATAGTGCTACACTAGTTATACTGAGTTGACTAGTGTAATGACCCATAGCTCACATAATGAGCCGTAAGGTCACACAACCTGTCTTTTGTTTTAGCCATTGAAGCCCCGTTGCCAGTCAAGCTGCTGACATCGGGGATAGATTTCGCAATGACTCGATGACTCTCCCCATTCAGGAAAGACATCCCTGCTTGACAAAGTTGTTGAAGAAGTGCAATATGAGCACAAATGATTCCAAAACGAGGGACCCGGGCGTTCTCCTTCATCGGGTGGCTTTACCACCGAGGGAAAAAAATGAAGTAAAATAAGTGCGATGCACGAAAGAAAAAGGTAAAATTTGTAGCAAACATTGCCATAAATAGTCAAGAAATGTATTATTTCCCCTTAGCAATAGCGTGGTCTTGCAGAGGAGTGCCTCGGGTGAGGTGAGCCCAGCTGGTCGCCGGGTGGGAGTTAGAACACGTTTCGCTGTTATGAAGATGTACGGAGAGGTAGATTAACGTGTTCAAATCGTTCATAAATGTCTGCATGTACTGGTACCAACATTGTATGTTTTTATACTGGGCAATGGCATACTGCCATCAGAAAGTGCAAGGCTTACACCAGGAACATCGAAATTGATGTGATTGTAAAATAGAACACTTATGGATTTTGACCACATCCTAGTCTGCGAAAGATTCATCCTCCGCACCGAACATGCACTGGATAAGTGATGGCTGGACAAATTTCAGGCTAGGCCAAATTGTGCTAAATTTTCTAATGTTTTTTGCTTGGTTTGCTTGTTATCCATGTTGGAGATGACCCAAGCAGTGACATCACTTCTTGAAACAATGATCCTACATGTGTTGCCAGGACGTGGCTGCTACCCACCAGACATGTTTCTGGCAACCAGTTACATGTATTTTCTCAGTCCGACCCACATTGAATGCACTATGTATGAGCCTTTGTTCCATTTTATAAAAAAAAACTATTGTGTGTAGACATTGCAAAATAGGCAACTGATGTCGTTCAGGGTTTTATAGTTTTTATGAACAAAGGTCACATAATTTAGGTGTGTTTTCACTGCACGATAGAAGGCTTAGTGAACATATCACCAGTCTGTAATGTTTTGCAGTATTATTAACCAGGTTATTCAAGATAAATTTGATTTAACAGGAACAGTGGTGCAAAAAATGATCATTCCATGTAGCATTCTTGTGAACCTGAGCAGGACTAGATTACGACACTTGTGTTGGTTTTCAATTCAGCAGTGGTAGCTCACCTGACATGCCTGATCCTACTGAAGTTGTCAACATTATATAACCCAGTTCTCAGCAGTAAAGAAGGCAGACATTGTTCCCATCTTGTATGATGGGATCAAGCTATTCTGTGCAGTGGATGTCTTTGTCTTCCAGTAAAGAGCTATGGCATGACAGCATTTCAACAAGTTGACCCCCTATGACTGCCTGCTGGCTGACCTTTCCTTGTCAGCCTGGCCAGATATGCCCACTGTTAACCTATGTTACTGTGTGACAAGTCTGACCTTTTCACAAAGACTAGAGTCAATTTTCCCTGCATCACAATGTTCCATTTTTAATCCACTGGTATGATGTTAAACACAAATGCATATATTTGTTCTGAAATGCCATTGCAAACATTCATAAGCTGACTGTGGCACAGGAAGGACAAAAGCAGAAGCAGGTTAAAGCATACTAACAGAGGATAACCTATTTTGGGCTGTATCTGGGCAGCCTGTGACTGCCTTGTTCCTGTGCATCATGTTGTCATATGTTGCCCCATGTTCCCTGTGATGTTTTTTTTGGATGGTAGACACCTGTGTTGTTGTCCCAGTGTTCAAATGCCTGTGAATGTCAGTGCCTTCTCAAAATTGTCCCAAGTGTATAGAATAACACCATATGTGTGGGTCATCTCACATGTAACCTTGCAGAGAGTCTGTTTCCTTTCTTCTAGGGCTGCCATATGACCGACATAGTTGGTGCGCCCCAAAGCCCAAATCATCATCATCATCATTCCTTCTAGGACTGTCTCAGTCCCTCTAATAATACTTTCCTGGATCCTCAGATCACACAGCTTGTATAGGAGCCCATATCACACTACAGAAGCAGACGCCCTTCCAAAATACAGGTAAGCAATGTACCTGGGCCCTCTGTGGCAGTCCTTAGTCAGACTACTAATGTATGTCAACTGGCTAGCATTATTTTGCTGTGAAAGGAGTTGATTTTTAAGTGGTTTGGTATCTGTCATGGCTATTAACATTGCAGAACATAGTTTGTGCCGTAGCAGAGTAAACCTCAGCTGTGCAAGCTTTATGGCAACTTATTCACGTTGCTGCCACCACTGCCTTGGTTTCCCTGCTTTTCGGCTTTGACAGCCAGAAAGACAGCGTTAAAGACAGTTAAGTTGGCGCGCTCGGGGCGTGTTCGTACCGCACGGCCTTGTTCGTGAACCGCCTGCTGCCATTTGCTGCGGCTCCTCGGAGCCATGCTGTGGTCATGCCTGGGCTTTAGCAGCATGACATAAAGGATGCTGTCTGCTTGTGTGTGCTCCGTTTACGTTATTGGTGTTTTTATCAGTGTCACATCTTCATTTGTATCGTGCAACACTCAACCCATTTACTGGAATCAAATGTTAAGCCATAGGTATCAAGGATTCATAATGAATGCATATAACGTTAATCATGGTGGTAACAGCCACAGTCAGGAGTTCTGATCCGGCAAGCTGCGATCACACGGTGTGATTTGAAATCTCGTTGGCAAATGCTTGCAGAATCGACAAAAAGGTATTGCGGAGGGTTTGCGAGTAGTCGCGCATGCCATTCCCAAAGTGTGCTCGGCAAAGTAGTGCATTGGGCAACGCAATTAAACCAAACCCTTGCGCATAAGCGTCCCAGGTATGGCTTAACGAAAACATTTGCGTTACGAACAAATAGAGCGTTGATTTCGGCTGATTCGCGCGAGCATTTCACAAAAAAGAAACGTAACAAAAAGAGCGACCGATGGCACTGCAATTTTGGACAAAACCGATGGGAGCGGACACGGAGGAAAAACGGTGTTGAAATGCTACCGCCGAAGGCTTAACACCCATTGACTGCATTATGCGTTCCGCTTATGTACCTGCTCAATTCGGCCAATTTCGAGCGGTGTGCGGGCTTGATCCTTGCTGCGCCTTCGTTTGATTTCCCCATCCGAGGTGGTTCAATATATTATTGTCATTTGCATGTAATGATTCTGACTCAAAGATGTAGCCGATGACTTAGCCGTCATTTATTCAAGCGTTACCCCCAAGCAGTTTACCATTAAGCCAGTGATCATTTTGGCTTGCCACCATCTTCCCATGTCGTCATTCATTCAGACATGATCCCTAAGCAGTTCACCATTTAGCCGTTCGCCAATTTGGCATGTCGACTATGTTATATGTCGTCATTTTGTAGTTCGTCAGTGTTGTAGTTCCTTTCGCTATTTTTGGCATGTCAAGCTCGTGATATTTCATCATTTTGCAGTTTGCCATTCAGCTGTCCGCTATTTTGGCATGTCGCCATTTTATAGTACGCCATAAAGCCGATTCGACTTTGTGACACGTCGACTTGTGGCTTGTCGCCAGTATGAAAGTCGTCATATTGCACTCGACAAAACGGTATTCGGCGAGCTGCGAGTCGAATTTGAGTCACCGAGACCGGCAGGCAGGCTGAACCCACGCGACTATGGCGGTGCTGATTCCAAGGTTTTGATAAATATGGTGTAATACGTTACGAGGTTGGCAATGGGCGGGCGGAGGCTAGTTTTACACTGCATAGAGGATCAGTCGTCTTTTTTGGAAATCACAACGGTGTGCTACAGGCCCACGCAAACCAGACGTGGAGCAATATCTGGATTCTGGATTCACCGTTGGGCGTCCATAAACGGTTTAGGCACTTGAAATGCCGTGGAGCGTCCCGCCGCGCGCCTGGTATTTACACTGTCCGCCCGGTCTCCAGAGATACTGCCGCGCCTGGCCTTATCACTGCGGCCACCGAGGGCCGATCTTTCCACGACCCGACGGCGTGTTGCCCCCTCCTGCCGCGCCGTCACAGACAGAGGGCTGGCGGTCATCGGCGAACCGCCCTGCAACCATACTCTGGATTGTGGTTGTGGTGGTGGGGGTGGTGCCCCCCCCCCCCCCTCCTGGTCGTTTTGCTGGCTGCTCCGAAATGACAGCTGAAGCGTCCTGCCTTTTTACACATCGCACAGGAGGCACGCATAAGAGGCAATGTTTTCGCGATACGCAAAGCGGATCCAAAGATATTGTCGGCATTGCTGGTCCCACACCACCAAACAGATCTATCTTCAGCCCCGTGCGTTTTCTTGGGATTCCAGCCCTTCGGATATGTGCTGCTGTTAGGAGCACGCTCCCGCGGGGCCTTCGCCATCCGTGTTTTAACTCCTCGGAACTCAGGGATTGATGGGGATTTGGGTCAACAACGTGTTACCCTCCGAAGCGTGTTGGGCGCTGCTGGACCATTTGCCGTCGACGCACCCCAAAACTACAATTACAAAGCTAGTACAATTACAAAACTATTACAAATTGCAAATTACAATTACAAAACTACTACAAACAACGGCTGGAATTAACGGTCTTAAAAAGTGGTGGTGCACGGACGTATTGGATTCAAAATTTAGTTTTCTGAATGATAGGGTGCTGGACATTTAATGCATGGCAAACTTTCACTATTTGCCGGCTGATGAATGCAATGTCCCGTGCCAGAAACCAGAAGTTTTGCCGTCCGAATCGAGGTCAGTTGCAGTTTTAGAACTTGCAAAAGGAAAGCCTCAGGTCCTGGAAGTTTAAAACATGGGCATCTATCCATGGTTCAGCCAAGCAGTGTAATGTCCCCTGCCAGATACACATATTTTACTTTTACCTACGCCCTGCGCCATGTCGAGGCGTATTTCTTACGTGGCCTTTGTTCAGATATTCACTGTTCACTGTTCACGAGTTCAGATGTTCACTGGCGTTCGGCGCCTCTTCATGGCAATATATGCTGACGAGCCTCAGGGGGGGGGGGGATATTCATTACCGTCTACCGCTTACCACAATCTGCCGTTTTTGTCTTCAACTGCAGCCAACATCACACGCTACGCGAGATATTGTCGAATTCATGCATTGCGCCCGGCAGAGCATGACGATCTGCACACTGCTACGCACGCGGGGCAGCACGATCACATGCGCTTTGTGTAGCCGAATGGTTGCGGTCTAGTGTGGCTACGACCCCTGGCTGCCAAATGTGTGGCTACGACCCCCGGTTGCCAAATGCCCGGTGGCACGCCTGTACATGCGTCGGTCGGAGGACCTCCGGCAGATGCACGCGATTGCGCAGCTAATACATCAGCACCCACCAAAGAACGTTGACAGCACAACCGCTCCACGGCATACGTTTCCTACTTGCAATGTTCACGTGTTGAAGGTCGGTGTTTTACAGAGCCGCAAACTGCATGCTATTCATGACCGATCCGCCCGTCCTGTGATCCGATCTCGTCACCGGTCCGCCTGTCCTGTGATCCGATTTCGTGACCTACCCGCCCATCCCGTGATCCGATTTCGTGACCGGTCCGCCCGTCCTGTGATCCGAGCTCGTGACCGGTCCGCCTATCCCGTGATCCGATCTCGTGACCGATCCGCCTGTCCTGTGATCCGATCTCGTGACCGATCCGCCCGTCCCGTGATCCGATCTCGTGACCGGTCCGCCTGTTCTGTGATTCGATCTCGAGACCCACCCGCCTGTTCTGTGATTCGATTTCGTGGCCGACCCGCGTGTTCTGTGACCTGACCTCGTGGCCCGCCCGCCTGTCCTGTGACGCATGATGAAGGAGGTCGGTCAAAACGAAGGGAGCTAGGGAGGGGGGTGGTTGAAAGTTCCCTGTCGTGTACAGTCGTACCACTGAAAGACTCCGTGCGGCCCAGTTTTCACCCCTGATGACAGTCTGCCGGCCGTTCCCGTCGCGCATGTGCCGCTGGTTGGCTGAGCAGAACGGGGTGCCGGCGGCGCGGGCCGCGGACGGCGGACGGAGCGGAGACACGGTGTGGGCGCCGGCCGGTGACTCGCCTGAGTCACTGCGGCCGGTGACTCAGCCGCCGCGCTACCCCAGCGGCGGTCACGGCCGTCGCTCTGTCACGCCCTGTCACGTTGCACCCCGTGGAGCCTGGCACGTGGCGCCTCAGGTGGGCAGAAGCGCACCACACCTGGCACCGACGGTGGCGCTGGGTCACACCGGCTGGCGTCATACACTCGCCACTTCGCACACGTGCCAGGCGACCACGCCGATTTGCCTGAAGCACCTGGAATCGCAAGGTGCTTGGTTCCCACGGGTGTTTTATTAGAAGGTGGGAGTGGGCTATGGACCGTGAAGACGTTTTGGATGTGAGAAGATATGGTGGGACTTTTTGTCGTGGTATGCGTTTTGGGTCTGGATAAGGCTACTTGTCTAGGTTGCGCTACAATCAAGCCTTTTTCCTTTTTGCAGTGGTAAGTGGTCGAACCATCCTGTGAGCATTTCACTCGTGTCATAATGTTCTTCCGAATAGTCGGCATTCTTTCACACGCACCTGTGGAACCCGTTTGTGGTGCTGCGATCAGGTGATGTCATTATTGTGGTGTGGCCTTGGGCCGGCCGCTGTCCCGTGTGGCGGCTACCTCGTCGGTCACCCTGCCGCCGGCCCTTCAGATCGCGTTCAGGTAATCCTGGCGTCCTCAGTCAGTACGGGTTCTTACCGAACGCAAGGGTTAAATAGTGGCTCGGGTTGGAAAATGTGAAGCGTTGGTACCTCTACACTGGTAAAAACGGCTAAGGCTGAAAGGGCAGCGTCGCGTTATTGTGTAATATTGTTTACATCCAGTTGAGTATGTTGTGCTTCCATCTGTTTTCCTTTCTGTCATTTATCATTTGTGCCCTTTACAGGCAAGGCAGCTTGTGGCTCGTCCATGTTCCCTATCTAGCGTTTGTGTCTGGGTATCCTTTTCCAGTCGCGTGTCGCTGGTTCGTTGCCCTCTTTCTCCATCTCCGCGTCTGGAGAGCGATAGGCAGCTGGGCAAAGGCTACGGCCGTCCGCGGTCCGCGCAGAGGAAAAAAAACAGCGTCGATTGCCGACTGTTTTGCGACACCGGCAACAGGCGATTGTCCGTGGTACGCGAGGAGGGGAGGGGGTGGGGGACAGCGCCGATTGTGGACTGTTTTGCGACACCGGCAACAGGCGATGGTCCGTGGTACGCGCGGAGGGGAGGGGAGGGAGAGGTGGGGGTGGAGAACAGCGCCGATTGTGGACTGTTTTGCGAGACAGGCGACGGGCGATGATCGCAGTGCTCGCAGCGCTCTCAGCGCTCCGCGACTCGCCGCCCACGCCGGCTGCAGATAACACCACTAACTGCACCGCCACCGCCTGACCTCCAGCGTGGGTGACGCTGGCGAGGCCGGTGCTCCCTGTCGGGCCCCGGCGGCCGGACTTGCGTCGGGGGGTGCTGGTCACGCGACGGGGTGCAAAGACCCCAACGGAGGACTTAGGCTAAAGGGGTTCGAACAAATGAACGAGCTCGGAAACAAGGAGGGAGGCTGAGGGGTGTCGGCCAACACGCGCCCAGCAACGGGGGCGTAGTTTTGTAAAGTGAGTTGGGGAGCTGGGCCGTAGGAATTATTAATGCTATCCCTAAATTGTTGCTAACAGACGGGTTTCGTCCCGTATTTTGCCCACTTTCCCTCAAAATGGGCGGGGGGAGGGGAAGGCGACAACTGAACAAAACGATATCCCAGGCCGGGATTTAGACGTAGAGCAGGGAGCAGAGCCGTACGCGGCTGGACGGTACAGCTGTTGTATCTGTTACCACGGCGCGGCTCCCCGTCCGCTGCCCTGGCGGTGCTGTGTGCGGAGAGTGGGCTGCGATGGCGGCGGCTGGGAGCGGTTACTGCCGGTGGGACCGACGCCGCCGTCCGGCGCGGCCTGGCCACCGGAAGCGATGACTTCCGCTCGGCTTCGGTTGGGGGTGACCTCAGCCATGGCCAGGAGTCGCGGCGGGGGGTGACCTGAGCATGGCCAGAGTCAGTCGCGGCTGGGGTGACCTGAGCATGGCCAGAGAGTCGCGGCTGGGGGTGACCTGAGCATGGCCAGAGTTCGGTCGCGGCTGGGGGTGACCTGGTGACCTAGCATGGCCAGAGTCCGGCCGCGGCTGGGGGTGACCAGCATGGCCAGAGTCGTCCGCGGCTGGGGGTGACCTGAGCATGGCCAGAGTCGGCCGCGGCTGGGGGTGACCTGATGCATGGCCGAGTCCGGCCGCGGCTGGGGGTGACCTGAGGCATGGCGAGAGTCCGGCCGCGGCTGGGAGTGACCTGAGGCATGGCGAGAGTTCGGCTGCAGCTGGGGGTGACCTGAGGCATGGCCAGAGTCCGGCCGCGGCTGGGGGTGACCTGAGGCATGGCCAGAGTCCGGCCGCGGCTGGGGGTGACCTGAGGCATGGCGAGAGTCCGGCCGCGGCTGGGGGTGACCTGAGGCATGGCCAGAGTCCGGCCGCGGCTGGGGGTGACCTGAGGCATGGCCAGAGTCCGGCCGCGGCTGGGGGTGACCTGAGGCATGGCGAGAGTCCGGCCGCGGCTGGGGGTGACCTGAGGCATGACCAGAGTCCGGCCGCGGCTGGGGGCGGCAGGGCCTGGGGTGGCAGGGATGCCGCCAGACGGCCGTTCGGCGACCCGGCTGGTGGCCGGGCTGCCGGCGCACTCAGCCGCGGCAAATGTTGGCTCTGTCGGTGAACCAGGCCCCAACTACGGCCATCTCAGAATGATGCTCCGAGCTCCGTCAGGGACGGACCGAGCTCACAGCTCGGCCCCAGTCGCTGGGACAGAGGCTTTGCGGCTGCATGCAGGGTCAGGCCGCTGTGGAAACAGCACATACGGCCGCTAATGCGGGAGCGTGGAGGCGAAGGTATCGAACATTACGTGCTCTTCATCCACGGCCACCTCGATTTGCGACGATATTTTTTTATTACTTTTTTCCGTCGCCGAGCGTACCTCATCGCAACATTGAGTTCATATTTCTATGCAATTAGCCCTGACGCTTGTTGGCTGCCATTGGTGGTGAATGGAATGAGTCGACCACAGAGATCTCTATTTGCCTTACAACTCCCGTTTTCTTTATCCACCACCCCTTCCAACATTACACCCATTCACCGTCGGCGGACGGCTTTCCGCCGGCTGCAGAAAAATCACATGGAGTCACGCGTCACGTGACGGGCGGCCGAGTCGTGTGCCGGCCGCCCTTGGCGCGGTGGCGCGGCGGCGCGGCGCGGGCCGTCGTTTGCGGCTCGTCAGTCGGTGCTCTGTGGCGGCAGGAGCGCTGACCGGCGGCCGGGCGGCGCGGCGCCATGATCGGCACACTGCTGCTGGCGCTGCTCTGCGTGCTGCTGGGCGTCGTGCTGACGCTGGCCGTGCAGTACTACGTGCTGGAGAACTACTTCGAGAGTCTGCCGATCGTGGGACCGACCGACAAGCCGACGGTGACCCAGCCCAAACTGCCCGAGGTGAGGGCCGAGGCGGGCCACCGGGACGTCGCCCCTCGCCGCCAGACGCCGTCCGCAGGCTGCGACCTGGATGACCTCGCGTCACGAGGCTATCGAGGCCATCGTGTTCTGCGCTCAACAATGCCAACCCTTATCCTCAGCACTTGCGTGTCCCGTACCTATTCACCGTCTCCGTGCCGTACCTATCACTGGGACATGCCCATCCCGTTCTCGTTTCAAGACGCCATGCTTGCCACTGGATCGCGATTGGTGGATGATCAGTCACGTGTGCTGGGATGTGCTCAGAGTGCAGTAACATACAATACGATAGGCAGGCGAATTTAGCATCATAAGTGCCATGGACTCCGACGTCACAGTTGTTGGGCGGCGGTGACAACACGTGGACGGGTGCGTTGACAGGAGCTGGCCGATGAGGTGCGGAAGGAGACGTACCAGCGGAAGGAAACATGTCTGGCCATCAATCTGCTGGTGCAGATGCTGTTCGGAGACCTCGTGCACACGCCGCGCCTGCGTCAGTGGGTCCTCAACAAGATCCACCTCGAGTTCCAGGAGCTGATGGCTCGCACAAGCGTCGGCAAGCTCTTCCACAACATCAGGGTCAGCCCGAGAGTCTGGATGTGGCGAGGCTGTAGAATTTGACGTGTGAGCCGCGCCGCGTATTGCCGTCGAGTTCGTTGGTTGGATTTAGGGAGCAGATCAAGGTGCCGCTAGTTCAGTCGTTTACACTCAGGCTCTGCCCTTATCCGTGGCCTACGTATGCTGGTGTGCGGTCCGAAATCACCCCCAGGGGGAGATGGCTGCTCAACATTCGCCCCACGTCAGTACGTGGCGAGACCAGTCGTGTTTGGTCTGATTCGCTGACCCCGTGTATCTCGCCGCTGTGACTGGATTCACAAATGTAATACTTAACCGAGCCGTGCCAGTTCCCCGGCTGCATTGCCCCGTAATCTGATCGTCACACACGCCCTCAGATCAACGAGCTGGACCTGGGTGGTCAGATGCCCGTGTTCAAGAGCGTCACCACCCAGTACGTGTCGCTCCATCCCGTCACCCAGACCATCGAGCAGCTGGACCTCAAGCTGGACGTCGAGTACAACGGCGGTCTGAAGATCAGCATCCTGGCCGACATCGTGCTGAACAGGAAGGGCTTCGTCTTCCTCAAAAGTGAGCGGAGCCGGCAGGCGGTGCGGGTGTGCTGAATCCTTAGCACAAACATATGCAATGTCGTTCAGTTACCAGTTAACTCCGTAAGATGTTTAGGAATGCTAGCTGCTTTTTCACTTGTGCGACTTCATCTGCTTGGCGTTGAAGGATATGCTGGTTTTCGTTAACACCCCTCGGCAATTTGGCGAATTATTGCCATCGAATATGCCGAAAGTATTACCGCAGCAAAACGCCAGAACACTGGGTATCTATTCTGCTTGGATGTCAACGTATCTGATACCCCGGTGTGCATCCCGTGCAGTCCGGCCTGAGGGGGCCGTCCTGTGCCTGAGGAGGCCGTCCCGTGCCTGAGGAGGCCGTCCCGTGCCTGAGGAGGCCGTCCCGTGCGTGGGGAGGCCGTCCCGTGCCTGAGGAGGCCGTCCCGTGCCTGAGGAGGCCGCCCCGTGCGTGGGGAGGCCGTCCCGGACCTGAGGAGGCCGTCCCGTGCCTGAGGTGGCCGTCCCGGAACCTGAGGAGGCCGTCCCGTGCGGGGGGGAGGCCGTACCCGGACCTGAGGAGGGCCGTCCCGGACCTGAGGAGGCTGTCCCGTGCCTGATGAGGCCGTCCCGTGCGTGGGGAGGGAAGGCCGTCCCGGAACCTGAGGAGGGGCCGTTCCCGTGCCTGAGGAAGGCCGTCCCGGACCTGAGGAGGCCGTCCACGTCGGTGGGGAGGCCGTCCCCGGACCTGAGGAGGCCGTCCCCGTGTCTGAGGAGTGCCGTCCCGGTGCGTGGAGAGAGCCCCGTCCCGTGCCTGGAGGAAGGCCGTCCCGTGCCCTGAGTAGGCCGTCCCGTGCGTGGGGAGGCCGTCCCGGACCTGAGGAGGCCGTCCCGGACCTGAGGAGGCCGCTGCCCGTGTCCTGAGGAGGCCCGTTCCCGTGCCTGAGGAGGCCGTCCCGTGCGTGGGGAGGCCCGTCCCGGACCTGAGGAGGCCGTCTCGTGCCTGAGGCCAAACATGTCTGTCGCCCCCCCCCCCCCCCCTCCATCCCACTCCAGCTTGGTGAGGCTTCCGTTGCTCCTGTACCGTCGAAAGCATCCTGCGCTGCTGCAAGATCTTTACGCACTCGTCAATAGCCATGACATCAACATGTGCGCAAACGCACTGTCAAAGACCAGGTCTGAGATGGTGAAGTGTTAAGCGCATCACGACAGTGGGGAGCAGGCATAGTTCTTGTAGTGCGTTTGCACCACGCTCGTGGAGTATTTTCCAGCCGTTATGCCGAGATGATTCGTCATTTTGATGCACGCAGTCTCGGCTCGGCTTTACCTAGTGTTTCTATTACCTTGTGGTCCAGCAGCTGACGCTGATGGCGCAGCCACATTTTTAGAAACTGCGGAGGAATGCAAAAATATGGTTTCAGCAGACGCGACCACTAATGCGTTGCGTATTACTGTGTATAATTTTGCATATGTTGTGTGATGATGTTACTAAGACCAATGAAATGTTACTTGGTCATAAAGTAACGTTCTTAACAGTTTTTCCGATGATGGGAAGCCATTGATTCGGAGAAGAGAATCATTCCCTTTGAAGCAAATCAATATCAGATGTGGCGCGTTTTCAGTGAAACACGCCTTAAGAAAAACATGTTCTGCAACGGCCATCTAATGTATATATGTAAGAAGTCTGAGCCTGCAAGCAAATGGGACAAACAGGCCTCATGGTCCTTCAGAGGGCGCAGAGGGCCTGGATTTGGTTCAGAAGCGCCCGCTCGTGGTCGACCGCTTCAGCGTCCCTGGGCCTGCTTCACTTTGACGTATCTTGGCAACTTGCTCAGCTCGCTCCATTCTCTTCAATCCTGAGGACTTGGCTTCCTTTTGCTGCTTCTTTTCCTTGAACATCAACCTTTTCTTCTTTATTCGTTTAAATTCTATCCCTTTTGACTTCGTGATATTTGATTTTTGACCTTTAAGCTCCATCGTTTTGATTTTAGTCACTTTGAATTTTGTTCTCTTCAGCCTAAGGTGTTCTTAGTTCCGTGCATTTGACGTTATTCTCGTTTAGTTTTGCCCATTTAACTCTCATCCCTTTTTCCTTTTTGCCTATTTGAATTTTATGCCTTTTTAGTTTTGATGTCTTTGGCGTTTTGCATTGAACTGTTTTTTTTGTGTTCTTTTGCCACTTGACGTGGTTCTTTGGCCTACTGTTGTTTGGGCCTTATCCAGTTGAGCTTTTTCCACTTGCCGTTTTGTCTTCTGGCTTCTCGGCATTTGCCGTGTGGTTCGGATGGCATGCCTGAGCCGTGCCGTCCCGTGGCTGACGCCGCCTCCGCCGGCAGTCGAGCGGCTGTCGGGCCAGGTGCTGCTGCGCTTCACCCGGCGGCCGTTCTCGCACTGGGCGTACAGCTTCATCGGTGACCCCACCATCGAGGTGGAGGCAGAGTCGCAGTTCCAGGGCCGGCCGCAGCCGCGCATCACTGCCGTCATCGTGCGCCAGGTCAGTGGCCCGGGCTAGGCTAGATCGGCTTAGGCCAAGCCGGGTCAGTCGTGGAGCCTGATGAGGTCCCTTGCCCCAGCTGAGCAGTGGTCAGGTTGAGACAGTTCGTTACCTAGTGTCAGGTCAGTCCGTAAGTCAGGCAGTCGCGGGCTCAGTTCAGGACACGGGGCTCGGTCTTCAGGACACGGGGCACGAGGCTGGAAACAAAGGGGAGGGATTTTTTGTCGTTCTCCCCCGTGTTTCAGTCCCAAGGCGGTGCGTATTTTCTATGCACGTCGCAACCACATTTCTTTCTTTGTTGCCATCACCACTCCCCATTAGTTTCCTGCTAATGTCCAGTTGTCTCTCCGCTGCCAGTGTTCTGTAACTCCGTCTTCAGAACCGTCCCCGCCGTCTTTGTTACTTGTGTTCGATACACGCGCCCAACCGAAAGCAGCCACCTGTTGCGCCAGAGCCCGCCGGTCGGTGCTGCACTATGACCTAGGCGCCCAAGCAGGCGGCAGCTGTGGCGCCTGCAGGCCGGGTGGGCCTCAGCTGTCGCGATTCGGGTCCCCTGTCCCCACTGTGTGCCGTCTCCGAATGGCGGCTGCTGCCCGCCTGGCTCACCCTGTCGCCCCGGCCGTCTCCTGTCCCCCGCTGTGTGCCGTCCCCGAGCGGCCGTTCCCGCCCGCCCGGCTCACCCTGTCGCCCCGGCCGTCTCCTGTCCCCCGCTGTGTGCCGTCCCCGAGCGGCCGTTCCCGCCCACCCGGCTCACCCTGTCGCCCCGGCCGTCTCCTGTCCCCCGCTGTGTGCCGTCCCCGAGCGGCCGTTCCCGCCCACCCGGCTCACCCTGTCGCCCCGGCCGTCTCCTGTCCCCGCTGTGTGCCGTCCCCGAGCGGCCGTTCCCGCCCACCCGGCTCACCCTGTCGCCCCGGCCGTCTCCTGTCCCCCGCTGTGGGGCGTTCCCGAGCGGCCGTTCCCGCCCGCCCGGCTCACCCTGTCGCCCCGGCCGTCTCCTGTCCCCCGCTGTGTGGCGTCCTCTAGCGGCCACTGCTGCCCGCCTGGCTCACCCTGTCGCCCCGGCCGTCTCCTGTCCCCCGCTGTGGGGCGTTCCCGAGCGGCCGCTCCCGCCCACCCGGCTCACCCTGTCGCTCTGGCCGCAGATTAAGCGCACGCTGCGCAAGCGCCACACGCTGCCCAACTACAAGCTGCGCTACAAGCCGTTCTTCATGTCGCGGCTGCAGCAGCTGGTGCCGGACGCGACGCTGGCCGAGCTGACCTCGTCCGCCCAGCTGGAGGTCACCGTGAAGCGACTGTCGCGGCTGCACTCCAGCGGCCAGCTGACGCACGTCTACTGCCGGCTGGCCGTCGGTACGGCTGCCAGTGGCTCGATGCCCCCCCCCCCCTCCGCCCGTCGTCCTTCGCTGTGCTGGCGTGCCGGGCGCCACGTTCCCTCCCTTGTATTGTCCCCATGTCGCGTGTCACGCTGTCGGGACTGAGCTCGACGCTGTGTGGGTGTGGCCGGCTCGAGGGGAGGGGGGGGGGGGCGGTCTGCCGGGGACTGTGTGGCGTGACCGGGCCGACCGCGGTGCGCCAGGTGCCGACCCGCTCCTGCTGGACACGTCCCACGTCAGCTGGCACCAGGAGGTGTGGTGGGCTGGGGGGCGGCCTGCCGGGGACGGTGTGGCGTGACCGGGCCGGCCGCGGTGCGCCAGGTGCTGACCCGCTCCTGCTGGACACGTCCCACGTCAGCTGGCACCAGGTGTGGTGGGCTGGGGGGCGGCCTGCCGGGGACGGTGTGGCGTGACCGGGCCGGCCGCGGTGCGCCAGGTGCCGACCCGCTGCTGCTGGACACGTCCCACATCAGCTGGCACCAGGAGGAGCTGCACGTGCCGGCCCACCCGGGCCAGGCGGTCGGTCTGCTGGTGCGCGACACATTCGTCATGGAGAAGCAGCGGAACTGCATCACCATCTTCATCGTCGTGCACAACGCTCCCGCCTACAAGGCCGGTCTCAAAGGTGATGGCGGTCTCTTGGCTTCTTCGCCGCGTTGGAGCTGCGCGTCTTTGGTTGCCATTGAAAGTGCCTGTTACTGCCTTACAACGCACATTGTTGTGTGGTCTTGAAACTTGCAGAACTTTGTGCTGCTGCATGGGTTTGTTTTAAGTTGTGTGTATTGGTTCGGGACGGTCATTGCATGCCGCGTTTGGTCGGCCAGGCCGCTCAGATTGCATTGCAGAGAAGGAATAGCACGTGCAGCTGGGTTAGCCTCTTGGGGAGGTGTCATCCTCTCTGCTGTAGGGTGGAATTTCTGATGTGCTTGGTTTTTCGTTTGGAGAGCATTCTGACCTACTTCGTTTCGTAGTTGATGTACATTCACGCCGCTTTCTATCTCGGTTTGACTGCATCACGCCGGTAGTTCGCGCGGCGCGGCGGCGGCCGGTTCGCGTGTCCAGCGCTGGCTGACGGCGCGCCCCGTGTTTGGTGGCGGTGATCGGTGCGCGTGTGTGTGGTGGTGGGCTCTGTGTGTCTCGGTGACGGGCGTGAGGCCGTCTGACGGCGAGCTGCCCTGCGCCCGGCCTCCAGCGGGCGACATAGTGGACTCTGTGGACGGCGAGCCGGTGCGGGACCTGCCCACCGCCAACCGCCTGCTGCGCCAGCCGGCCAGCGACATCCGCGTCCGCGTGCTGCGCATGGCCGAGAACAAGGAGGCCAAACACAGCAGCGTACGTGCCGCCCTTCTGGTGTGACGGTGCCTGTCAGACCTGTCTGTCTCTGTCAGACCTGTTCTGGGCAGCAATAGTATGGTACAGCCGCTCGTAACATTCTGATCCGTGGAGGAGGTTTCGGCGCATCCGGAGTTGCTCCGTTAGAGTATACAGCTTAGTAAACACCAAGAGCTGGACCACCTGACTCGACTGCCGTGGTCGCGGAGCGATTTTGTTGGCTGCCCTTTTCAGTGCTCTATGCCTGTTATCCCTGGGCGCAGCTGTACGGTGCTATGAAGTGTTGCGTCGGGCGTCCGCTTCTGGAGCCGGACAGTGGACGCCCGCAGCTGTGTGTGAGCCGCCGCGCTCGTGTCCCGGCCCGGCCTCGGCCGGTCGTCCGGCGGCCGTGCGCCACCTCTGACCGTCTGGCGCGCGCGTCTGCCGCATCAGAAAAGCGGCCGTCCGTGGGCGGGTCGCTGGCCGCCGGCCGCCGTCCGGCTTCCGAGCGCCGACCTGCACAGCTCACGAATCAAGACACGAGAGCCTGCTGCTGGGACAGGTCCGCCGGGGCGCCGCCGCCGCGGCACCAAGAGCAGTCAGCGTGGCACCCAAGCCCTACAGGTACGGCGGGGCGGCTGGGCCGAGTGGGCGCGCCTGGGGCCGACGGCGGCGCGCCGCCGGCCGCTCCGGCCGACCCAGCTGTGCCGGCCCCAGCCGTGCCGGGCGCCAGGTAGTGCGCCCCGCGTGGCCGGCGGCTGCACGGCGCCGGGCCCGCCAGCTAACCCGGCACGCGGCCCAGACACGATCTGCATCCCTAACCGTTCTGGACGGTGGCGACCATGTTCAGACACGGTCTCGTCACTAACCTTGCCCGGACGCGGGTGGTGGCGTCCGAAACGAGATGATCTGTAACCTTACTGGGACGCGGCGACCATGTTCAGACACGAGTATGCATCTGTAACCTTACTGGGACGCGGCGACCATGTTCAGACACGAGTATGCATCTGTAACCTTACTGGGACGCGGCGGCCATGTTCAGACACGAGTATGCATCTCTAACATTACTGGGATGCGGTGGCCATGTTCAGACACGAATCTGCATCACTAACTGTTCTGGGACGGGGCGACCATGTTCAGACACGAGTCTGCGTCACTAACCTTGCCGGGACGCGGTGGGTGCGTCCAGACGCGGGTATGCATCTTTAACCTTCCTGGGGCGCAGCAGCCACCTTCAGACACAAGCCCGCGCGGTGGCTGCATCCAGACAGGAGTTTTCATCACTAACCTTGCCGTGACGCGGCGGTAGCGCTCAGACACGAGTCTGCATCACCTACCCTACTGGGACGCGGCGGCCATGTATGCATCTCTAACCCTAATAGGACGCGGCGGCTGCGTCCAGAAACGAATCTGCATCACTAACCTTGCCGGGACCAGGCAGGGGGATGAAACCGGCTTTGGCTTCGGCTTCGCTAAGCTGCGGTTTTCCGCCTCCAAATCCGGAGGTTATTGGCCTCAGGTGCGGCTTCGGCTTTTAACCTTTTTTGAGAATTCGTTTGGATTCGGCTTCGGCTCCATGTCATTGTAAGTGGTTTGCCTCGGCTTACGCTTGATATGATTTTAAGGAGCTGGCTTTGGCTTCGCAAAAAACAAACGACTTGTGGCTAGGGCTTCGATGTCATGCGATCTTGATCTGCTGGTTTCGATTTTGTCATAGTGATCTTTTTAGTTGCGATCGCGAGTTCACGTCACAGAAGCTGGCCTGCTCTTTCGTTCTGTCGCCTCAATACGCCGCAAGATTACGACGCCTGCATGGCTCAAAGCTGAAAAACAGCCGGGCGTCCACGGGAGCCTGACAGCGGCCGCTCAGCTGACTGTCAGGAACGTTGTGCTGGTACCAACACACAAGACGTGGCCGGTAGTAAGAATAGCTCATCCGTGATGCTAACACCTTGTGGTACTGCATAACTGTAATGATTTCTGTGATCTCGTACAGTTAAAGCAGACGCGAAAATGGTCGGTTTCGCTAAACACTGCTGCTCACTTGGTTCGGCTTCGGTCTGGTGATTTTTAAATGATGGTTCCTGCTTTTGTTTCGTGTCTTCTTAGTTCGAAGGCCCAGATTTTTGCTGTTTTCGCTTTTTTAAGTTCAAAGACGTTGACGTCGTATTCGACGTCACAGTAAAAAAAAAAAAAACAACAGCGAAGCCGGGGCTAACAGGATCTTAAGCACCGCAGTTTCAAACTTCGGAGCCAGGGGATTTAGGTTCGAGTTGGATTTTGTCATGGTCGTAGATTCGGACTGGGCTCCGAAGCCAGGTAGCTGGCTTCATCCTCACGCCTCGCCGGGATGCGACGTTCGCGCCAGAGTAAAAGCCTGCATATTTGCCCACCTTACCAGGGCACGGCTGCGTTATCCAGGCAGTCGGTATCGACGGAGTGTGCAAGGTCCCATTAGCCCCGGGTCCAGCCGGTGTAGCCTGTTCTGTGGATGCCCCGCAGCTAACAAGACAGAACGGGGCGATGTTTCCGTGCCTCCCTTATCGCGGACTTGCGGGCATTACGCAGTGCGCAACGCGGTATTCCTGGAAAGGACATCCAGTCTTCGTCTTGCAGTCTGTGCAAAATGGGAATAACACATCTGACGGGAGATGTCCGCGGCGCACGCTTGCTGCGGCGCGCATCTGTATTTCCTCCCTTCTTTACAACCGGGACTCCTCTTGTAGTACGCTGCGCGGCGCAGACGTGTTTGCGCATGCGTAACACGCCATTCAAGTGACCACGAGCTGGACTGCGTGATGTTTTAGGCGTCCGCGGTATATTCAGTGTGTCTCCCCGATCGCGTGGTCGTTTGATGGGCACGCGCCATGTGGCAGGCCTCACCACCACGCGCTGGCGACCGGCACGTGGGCGGACTTTGCTGACGCCGCT